CGCCGCCGCCTAGGAGGGACACAGGGACCCGCCGCCGCCGCCGCCCGGGAAGCAGCCAAGGTGACCGCCGCGTAGCCCCCGCCCCGCCCCGGGGAGCGGCACCCACGGCCTGAGGTGAGGGGGGGACCCCTCCCTCCCGCTAGTACATTGCAGTCCCAGGGGGTTACTGACTTGCATTGCATGCCCCTCCATTGCATTGCGATTTAATATTAGTCCCATTTCATTCGGCTTTGATTTTCATTTCGATCTCATCGCATTCCCGCTCCCCAAGCCGTGACACCCGGACCTCCCAGCGCCTGGGAGCAGCTCCCGTCCCTGGGGAGTCTCCTGCCCCCTTTCTCATGCACCCTGCAGCCGTACCTGTGGTTTCTCACCCTGGAGGTCCCTCTTTGCTTTCCCCAAATACTTCTTAAAAGGGAGTATTGGCCCTCTGCCCCTTTGCCCCCCCCAATCACCCATCATTGCTTTTATGTAACAAGTGCCACCCGTCCCGTCACGCTGTGGGAGGTCAGTGCATGTTCTTGCTTGCGCTGGTGCTGTACCCAAATGTTAAAAAAAACAAAAACCCACCCAAACATGTCTTGTCGTTGAAGAAGACAGGGGTTAAAATGAACGAAGACCGGAAGGGTAATGTAAGCTGGCTGCCTCGAGACGCGGCGGAAGCCAGCGCGGCAGAGAACATCTCGGCTGCGGCCTCCTCCCTGATTCCTGTCATAGATCCCGAGCCCGAGCTCGTAGTAAACCCCTGGGACATTGTTTTGTGTACTTCAGGAACCCTTATTTCATGCGAAAATGCCATTGTGGTTCTTATTATTTTCCATAACCCCAGTCTCCGCGCCCCTATGTTCCTCCTGATTGGCAGCTTGGCGCTTGCCGACCTCTTAGCAGGAATTGGATTGATCGTCAATTTTATTTTTGCCTATCTTCTCCAGTCAGAAGCTACAAAACTGGTCACGATTGGACTGATTGTTGCCTCTTTCTCTGCCTCTGTCTGCAGCTTGCTGGCTATTACTGTTGATCGTTACCTCTCGCTGTATTATGCTTTGACTTATAATTCAGAAAGGACTGTCACTTTTACCTATGTCATGCTCATTTTGCTCTGGGGAGCATCTATTTGTATTGGACTGCTGCCTGTAATGGGCTGGAACTGCCTCAAAGATGAATCCACCTGCAGTGTTATCAGACCACTCACTAAAAATAACGCAGCTATCCTTTCAGTCTCTTTCTTGCTTATGTTTGCCCTCATGCTACAGCTCTACATCCAAATCTGTAAGATCGTGATGCGCCATGCTCATCAGATTGCCTTGCAACACCATTTCCTGGCCACATCTCACTATGTGACCACCCGAAAAGGAGTGTCTACTTTGGCCATTATTTTGGGGACCTTTGCTGCTTGCTGGATGCCTTTCACTCTCTATTCTCTAATAGCAGATTACACATACCCTTCTATATATACCTATGCCACTCTCCTGCCAGCCACCTACAATTCCATCATCAATCCTGTAATATACGCTTTTAGAAACCAAGAGATACAAAAAGCACTTTGGCTCATCTGCTGTGGCTGCATTCCTCCTAATCTGTCTCAAAGAGCAAGATCACCCAGTGATGTTTGACTAACAGCTAGGAGGACATTATTTTACATTTTATTTTTCACACATTCCTGCAACACAGTCTTTGGTTTAGATTCATTCATTAAACTCTACATATTGGATTCATAGTCAAGCCACAGGATGCACTGACCATTTTGTAAAAAGAAACCACATTGACCAAAATGAGTGAAGTGGTTTAAGGAAGATTTTCAGAATCAAAATAATCAGTGTTCTTGCAGGTTTCTAATGTCACTCAGGTTCTTTTGCTGTGGTACAGGTCATCTAGCCCAGTCATTCATAAATACAGTGATTTTACATTAACTTTAGTCATTAAAAAAAGTAGACTGAAGAATCATTCTTTTTCAGAATTGTTTTGTGATTGGGCTCAATTATGCTGCATGTTTGTTTGGCTTTTATTTCTGTTGTCAAGTAATGTCTCTTCTAGCTTTGGTAAGCTAGTACAAAAAGATAACAGCCGTGATTTTTGTTATTGTAAACCAAATTGTAAATTAGTGGAACACATTTCAGAATAACTGCCCAACCACTGTTGTTTCACTTGGTATTTATTATAATATTTTCTGTTCAACTAGTTTTCTATAAATGGGGAGCTACTTGTATAGGTTTCTATTCTGTGTCTCAGCATGAAGTGGACCGTTATTTTAAAATGCTGCCTATTTTCTCCTGAGTTCTGGATAGATGCAAGAATAGAATATATTTTTTGTCTTTCCTATTGTTTTCTTTCTTTTAAAAAATCATTATATATTTTTATTTAAATAGGAGACATGGCTTTTTGTGCTACTGATTTTTAGGCAAAATTCCCCATTGAAGCTGATAGGAAGTTCTGCTCCAAAAATCAATGGAACCAAATGGCCTCTAGGAATTATGCATACAGCACTTTATGTTTCTTTGATAGATTTCTTTTTGGTGAAATGTGTAAGGGAATATTTAATGAAAAAACCTTGTTAAAATAAGTTTAGCATCTACATTAAATGGTCCCCTAAAGTTAGTGGTTGATGCACAGTTGTTATTTCATGTTCTCATTGTTCTACTGTGATTTCAAATTCTTAAGTTTGAGCATTTTTGAGAACATGCATTCATAGTGTGTGTACCAAAAATGCATGTATGAAACCGTTTCAGCAACCATAGTAATTTTATTCATGACTTCCTCACATATTATGATGCTCAGTACTATCATTTCACCATTGAATTTTGGATTAATAGTTTTAGTCTAAACAGCAGAACCTCCTTTCTTGAATAGTTAAATTTGAGCTGCTTCCATCCTTTCACTAAAGTCACAGTAGAATGCAATAGAACAAAAATGTGTTCTCATAAAAAGATTTTATCGTCGGGTGGGAAAAAACTAACTGGGGAAAAAAACCCGGATTTGCATTTCTTTGTGAAAGTTGAGATGTAGTCTCATATCAGTGCATAGGAATTTACAGTACAAGTTGTACTTCCATTAACATTAATGGAAATTACAAGCATTGGCATTAATATGAGGTTATATTCTCTTGAATGTCAAAGTAAGTGTACTGTATTGTTGCTTCCATTACAGTATCTTCCATTACAGTTAAAAAAATCTCCAGTGTAAAAATAGCAATATATAAAGTTGATGAAAATATATACCTGTATAGTATAGATAGTAGAGACTACCGTCTTGCTGACACTGGAGCTTCTCAGATGGAATCTTTGTCTTTTCCTGTGAACATTTGGGTACTTTAGCAAGTTTCTGTGGCATTAAGAATCTTGTGTGATACACAGAGCTAAATTTCAAATGTGAATCAATCAGTCTTATGTTATCAGAGATCTGTACAGATTTTAGCAGCAATAATTGATTTTTGTTTCAATGCTAGATTCATATTCCATTATTTACCTTGTTCAACCTTAATGGTATTTGGCTATTAATTTGGGATCTAATCAATTTAAAAATTGCATGTTGTTACTCTGACTGAATGGTGCTCTTGCAATTCTCATTGGCTTCACCGGGACTTTCAGATAGACTGAGGGCCAGATTCCAAATGGTGCTTACTATTTGGAATATTGGCATTCTTTATCTACTTCAAAATATTAATGAAATTATAGTCATGATGAGTTTCCTATTGTTTGTTCCTATTGTTGTTGTTCCTATTGTTACAGGAAAGTCACTTTTTAAAATAACTATGCTCCATATACATCTGATTTTATAAGTACACAAAGTATCAAATATTGGAAGCTCTTGCTAAGGTTACTTGTGAAAATTCTTAAATGAATGGTGCATAAAGGCCTCGCCATAAGCTTTGCCTCTTGTATACAAGTGCCAAAAAACCGTGATCACAACCACTTTCGGTTATCACCAAAATTCTGTCCCAAAAAGAAATGAGTTTTTCTGCACTTCTCTCTAGGTGCATACAACCGTAACATTTGGTCACCTCCCAATCCTCAGCCTATGTAAATTATCCCTCACAGTACCCATCTGTGGTAAAAAACGCATTAAAAGAAAGGAGCCTGAGGACAACGATGTTTGCTTCCCTGCAACAACTCACATTGGGACTTGACCAGTGTCTGTCTCACTCAGTGGGAACCTAGAGCTGTAGACAACTTTTCAGAGAAGCAAATAATACCCCTCTCTTTTGAGCATGATTTGGGAGATCTATATGCAATGGGCTTTTTCCAAACACAAATTTGAGGATACCATCTAGGTTAAAATTTAGGATACAGAAGCATTGAAACTACAGCGTGATATTCATCCCTAGGTAAGGGGCAGTTTCTTGTTTCTAAACTCTAGCACTACAGCCTTGCCCAGATGTGTTGGCACTTGATTGATTGATTTGGACTATCAAAATAAAGATGTCCATAAATTCAGAAGACTCTAATATAAGTCCTGATGCGGGCCAAAAGTTTTATTGAAGTCAATGAGTATGGCCTGTGTAAGGCTGTAGTCCAGAATGCTTTACAAAATTACTGTAATTATAAAACTTGCAGTATTGGGCATATGATACATAGTATGCGCGTAAATGAACATGTGTCCTTGTGGTGGGGTAGAGGGGGCAGGGGGAGATCACTTGTTCATATCTAAACACTTGCCTCAGTAATTCAACAGCTATAAATGTTTTTTTTTTAAAGGCAACTATTATTCAGACCCTGCAGTTCTGGCCATGTTTCTAGTCAAGTTTCTAGATATAAAAACAGTTTATATCTTGGGTCCCAATTCTGGAAGTTGTTCCTTACAGGCAAATCCCACAATCCAAGTGGGGCCGCTCTGAAATAGAAGGGGCACTGGTGAGGCACAGAGATCTGCCCCAGGGTATACATTTTTATGCTGCAATGAACAGTATTGATGCCTAATGCTACATGATGTGGTAAATTGACAATTCTAAGCAATACTGGGTTTTTCACACCTTGATAATCAACAGAAGTGTTTTTAAAAACAATGCAGAATTTAATCAAAATAATTTCAAAATGTTAAAAATTCTTAAGATGCTCAACCTTCAGGTTACACGTTTGATGGCAAAATCTACTACAGCCATTGTTTCCTGTCAAGATCAAGAATGCTCTCAAGTCAAGTAGCTGAGAGTAAATGTAGTTAACGCATGCTAATTTTGGTAGCCAACAGCACACTCGGGAGTGATGCAGCTAAAAATCACATCCAGATTAATTTGGCTCCCCAGTTCAAAGGTCCAGGTACCCATTTACAGCTGGGTCAACTTGATGCAGCTGCTGGCACAAGTCCAGGGCAAGGCTCAAACTCAAAACTATAGAAATGCTTTAACTGGCCTGCGCCTGCATCTTGCAGAGCTCCATGTTTCCAACCTATCCATTTCTATTAGATTCTTGATTTATTAACATTTAAAATATTAGCAATAATGAAAACAATGCTTTTATCATAAGAGCAATAAATCCCATTAACTTACTGTTTGTATAAAGTTGTAGAGCTGATTCATAGCAATAGTAAGGAAGCAATAAATTCATTAGGCAAAAATAAATTTCAAGTACTAAATTAAACCCATAGAATGAGCATATATAGATAGAAGTCTTCCTTTGTTTGGCATTAATTAAAGGACCAGTATAGGACAGTGTTTCACCCAGGTTTGCATTATGATTATTTAAGTTATTGTATGGAATTATTTAATGATAAATTTTATCTCATTTTTACATCTTGAATTCATTAGAACTCCCAGAGAGCGTTATAGTATAGCACAAGGAATTTCTATTAAATGTATTACTTCATGTGGTTTAAGATTTAGGTTTAGTTGCAGCATTAATTATATGCAGGATTTCTGGTTTTAGGCTAACACTGATATACTTCCTTTAACAGAAGAGGCTTTCATAAAACCTGTGTTGAAGACACCCATATTTACAAGGCTTGCCGTGTTGAAAACCATAAAGTTCCTCTGTGCTCCTTGGCAGCTGATTGCTGATATTTGGCTTTGGAAAGAAGTTTTTGGCATAAATGAAGAAAAATTCCCTATGATGTATGGATGCATTTGAAGCAAGCTGACAGGTCTCCTTTGCAGTTATGCTGGGGATGCTGTAGAGATGCACCAATACATCAGTCTGATATCGGATCGGCACCAATATAAAGAAAATTGACTTTATTGGAAATCAGCCTGATGTGGCCGATAATTTGGCCGATAAATGCCCATGCATGCGCATAGCTGCAGCGCAACATGTAGGCAGTGAGGAGCGTAGCCTGACAGCGTGGAGAGCTGCGTGTAGCTGGTAAGTCTGTTGTGGTGGAAGGGGGAGGGGAAGGGACGTGGGGGGCAGATCAAGACCCCCATGGTGAGGGAGGGAGTGGGGCTGGGGCAAGCATTGCCGGGGTGGGGTGCAGGACAGAACCATGGGAAGGGAGGGGTGTCTCCCACCACTGCACACACCCCAGGAGGGCACGGGGGGGCAGGGCGTGTGCTCCTGGATCTGCGTAGGGTGACTGTGGGCTGGGGCTGAGGCTGCACTGGGCTTTTCCCAGCGCGTGGGTGGGTGGGGGGATTGGACTGCAGCTGCACTCAGGGCAACCCTCCTTCCAGCTCCGTCTCCGCCCGCCCCCTAGTGCAGCCCGGCCCAGCCCACAACCCAGCCATGTCCCGCACAGATCTAAGGGGGGACACCCTCGGGTGCGCACAGCAGTGGGAGCAGCCCCCCCCTCCCCTCCCTGCACCACCCAGACAAGCCGCAGCTCCATCTCGTACCTGCACCAGCTGGGCAGCGCCTGCACCAGCCCCACTCCCTCCCTCACCACAGTGGGCCTTGATCTTCCCCCCTACACCCCTTTCACCACAAAAGACTTACCAGCTGCATGCAGCTCT